TGACGTGGTATGCTTGTAGACGAAACGGGTTTGGGTAAAGGATTCTCCTACACTATCTGATCGAACGAGATCGGTGACAGCTGTAGATCCGCATTGGGAGCCCTACGAGCTGTGTCCAGTCTTCGCACGATACAAGTTTATGGTAGTCGATGATAGCTTGGCTCGAAAGCTGAGAAAAAGGAAGTTTTATTTTATATTCGTAGATGAGCATAAGCTGAAGGTTTCAGAATAGTATTAATAATAAAATGGAAGAGTTAAGTGGAAGGTCCAGTTATTATTGATGGAATTTGGGTCGTTTTAAAATTTGACAAATCGATACGTATGAGAATCAGTATTATGTTTTTCTGGCAAATTTGTTCAGATAATTTGTTTTTTGCCAATTAAGGGTGACGGAAGTCACCAGTGGGGTTCTTTTCATGTATTGGATATTGAAGAATGTGTCTCAATCGGGCACCGATTTGAACTCTACGTACTCAGGTTCTGGCTTCGAGGTGCAATTCATTTTTTCGCCACCAGCGATCGATGTCCGACACAAAACAACAGATCCTAATTGTTGAACCAAAAAATGAGTTGAATACTGAAGTTCGTTTAAACATTATTATTACCTCGATGATAAATTTGTCCAACCAACTGGATACTTTAGTGTGCTTAGAGATGAAAACAACCGTACCTAAGCGTTATTGTGTTAGATTGAGCAGTGGGATGGTGAAACCTATAGAAACCCGCTCGGTTACTGTTATGCTTCAACCATTTAGTTAGGATCCAGGTGAAAAGACAAAACATAAGTTTATGATCCAAAGCATGATTTTCCCTGAGGATTGTGACAATTTTGAGGCTGTCTGAAAGAATGCGGATCCTGTCAAAATCATGAACTTGAAACTTTTAAAAATGGCTGGAGGGCTTATCGTTATACCGAGACATGAATTATTGTTTGAAGGACCGTTTACCCAGACAGTTCAGTCTACCGTCACTCTGAAGAATCCGTCAACCGTAATCTACTTTAAGCTCCAGGCATCTTTTACGCGTTTCTTTGCATCACCAACCACTGGGGTTATTGAACCAGATGGAAAGACACGAGTTACTGTTGTGGTTTAACTGTTTGAATACAATCCTGAAGATAAGTCTCGAGAACGGCTGAAGTCGGTTGTTGCAGAAAGCCTTGATGAGAGTTCTTACAGCGAGCTATTGGAAGGTCCAAATACTACAGATACCTGGTTAAAATGTGTATTCGCAATACCCGGCACGGATGAAAAATAAACCAAAACATGGGAATTTCTTGTGTTCTACGCCTCTCAAAGTGGCTTCTCTCACAACCAAGAACGTGGATTCTTTTTCGGCTGAAATTGATGCACTTTGAAGGGAGAATGCCGTTCTCAAAGAAAATGACATCCGCTTGCGACGATGTACGCTACCGGCACATGCTTAACCTCTTCGGAAGGTGATGGTGCAGCAATAGATCACACGGGAGTGATCGGTGCTATTGCTGACGTCACCCCGATTATTTATTTAATCCTTGCTCTACTTATTGGTTTGGTTCTGCGAAAGGTAGTGTGATGCCTTTCCTGTACCGGAAACGACCATACCTCTAGCATGATTGAAGTCCAAAATTTCCTTTCATCCCATCACTTTATTTGGTGTCTTGTTCTGATCCGCAGTTGATCTTTTTGAATTTTGTCTACCTTGTCAAGTTCTTCTGTTTTGCCTTTGACTCATCTTTAGGGTATTTTGCTGCTTGTCCTATTACTATGGTCACAAAGTGCAAACTGAAACCAATTGATTAAATGATATTGTATTTTTGTATCACCCCGCGTTTGAATGCTACGCGCTTACGGTTTTTAAGCCATTAAGTCTTTTCAACAAATCTATGGTAACAACGTAAGCGACTGGACATTTCTCATGAGTATCTTGCATTTACTTGACTTTTCTAGACAATTCACAATTATGTTGGTGAATTTTCCATTTCGCTTTTTACCGTGGAGAATGTGTATTAAACATACGTTTGAAGCGCTTTGTGCGAATCTGTAGATGACACTGAGTGATGCTTCCTGTTGAATTACGAGCTCAGTTTCAATTGAACGCTCTTTGTTGCACTAAACCTTGCTATAGGTTTTATTGAAAGTTTTTGACTGTAACGCTCAAAATTATTTTCAATAGATCTGTTGAATCGTGCAGAAATTTCTTATAGGTTCCAAATTATCTGAAAGGTAATTCGTTTTGCTATTCATTGTTTTATTACCACAGCTACTTTCTCTGATTATTTCTTACATTTTGGCGGATAGTAATTCAGGTCACTGTTAGAGGTATGACTGCTTAATGTTTTCTTGATTATTGTAAAAATAGTACCGTAGACTATTTCGAGTTCATTTTGGCTCCCGATAACTTTAGGCTACGCGTTTCTCTGGAGTATGATCATCGCTATCCAGAAGTAGCGTAGAGTTATTTGATTGAACGGATACAGAAGAAGAATTTAGTTTTTCTCGGACCAGTATAAGAATAATATTCCCTAATAGATTAAAGAGTGATATGTAGCCAAACTGTATCCCATAAAGCCAACAAAACGATTAATCCGGCAAAGTTCTACGGTACTGCATTGATAAATGCAGTAAACAAATATAATATGTTAAAATCTCAAAATAATCTCAGAACAGCCCGAGAACAAAAGTCAAATTTGTTCCTTCAAAGAACCCGAACCAGAGAAATGATTTCCGACTGGAATAGCACTCTCACGGTCATGCTGGACTCGAACGAGTCAAAATTGACCGATCAGGTCAGGAGTTGAACAACTTATATCCGAGAGACCAACAAACAAACACAGTCACATATTGAGTCTAATGTGTATAGATACACTTAAGATGAGGAGTCCAAGTTTGCCTATGTGCATCGGGCGAGTGGTGTTGAATGAATAAAATACACCGCCCAGCGAAATTCTTCTTCGAGGCACAGTCATAGGAAAATTCAAGAGAGTACTATTCCTCTCAATAACTAACTCCCCGATCTAATGTGCTTTCCTGTTACGCTTCTTGCTGTACTCTTCACATCTACAGCAGCTCGGAAGGATAAATGCAAGCAGTTCCTCATGACTCAGAACGCCTAAATCCCTAAACGCAGGGTTTCTCAACTGTGTAAATTTCCAGTTTCCTCCACATCATCGCTTTCCAGAAAAGCATTTTCACGAATAACTTGCAGTATCTCACCGGCGGCCACTTTTACCTCTAAAGTGTGTACCAGTTCATCCTTAACTATTCCAACAGGCTGGTGACTCGTTGGCAGGTTCTCCTTAGCTACTTAGAAAGTGCCACCCAACCCCTACGGTCGCTTTCAAGATATCTACATTTAATGGGACTGCAGTGTTGATACATATTCGTGAATTCAACTTCATTATAACACTCCTGCAGGATATACCGTCAAGTAAAAGACCCGAGAATGTAGTACAATAAATTTATTATACAGGGAAATAATAAATGTACAACAATGAGAGTGGCTCTTTATCCACGCTTGTGAATGAACTTCTTCAATATGCGGGTTCCTTGTTGATAACTGTCTACACTGAACTGATGACGATAAATGACATCTGCAAAATGGAAATATAAAAGAATATTAGTATAAATCAGGGAACTTGTAAAATCATTATATTGAAAAGCACATTTGAACTCAATAATCAATTCACACAATGCATTGGGAATAAATGACCCATGAAAATGCGTGATAACAGCGCAAAATATTAGAAGAAAAATAACAAAGGAAAAAGGAACGCAAATATAGATGGAACACAAAATGAATAAATCGTTACGAGATATAAGCATTCCAAAGCTTATCAGCATTTCCACTTACCCATGATTGCGTCTGTTATACGTGTTGAGGACAGTCCGCGTTTTCCACGGATGCCGTTCCAATTCAATATTTTGCTTAGCTGCGGGGTGAACGCGCGTCTGACTAGCAGACGTATCGACTCCCGCGTTGTGTTACCCCAACCGGAAACGAGATAATCCACCTGTAGCCATAAAATCCATATAAATATAGTTATATTTGCTGAATGGACCACGGTAAACAGCATATACGAAATGGAAATATAAAAGACCATTAGCGTAAATCAGAGAAGTTGTAAAAATCGTAAGTGGGAGCCAATATGAACTTTATATTTGATTTACATAATGTATCCAATATAAACAATCCCTTAGTTATGCGTGATAACTACCTTATGTATTAACGAAAACTACAGAGTAATAAAAAATCCATGATATCGGGAACACACGACCAACGTTTCATCACGAGATATCTCTACATAAAAGCTAATAGGCATTTGAACTTACCCATGATCGCGTCTGTTATGCACAATGAAGACAATGCGTGTTTCCCGTGGATGCCACCCCTGTTCAATCCACTGTTAATGAAGACAAAGGCGTCATTTCCTTATTTTCATTCATAAATGAAATGTGCACTAAAATCACCTTTCATGTTGAATATCACTTATTGTTGATTGAGCAAAAAGTCGACTTATTGAAATCGACTATCTCAATAATTAGCTAATTAAATTAATTGATGCTTGGCATTGCATATCAGATTTACTTGGCGTCTGATCTGAAGGCCTGTGTGATAAATAATTGGAAATGAATAAAAACCCAACCGTGTCGGTGGTGGAGAGTTCTGTTTTTGGTCCCTGACTTCGGTAAGGTGATATTACTGCTTCTTGAGTGTCATATTTCAACTCTGCAGTCCACTTACCTTACGATCAAACTGATAATAATAATAATCCGCCCGGTGTAGGCAATAAAACCTCATTTTCTGAGATGAACCGCTTTTGTGCACTGTGGCTATCGCATTATCGGCGAATTCAATAATAAAATACAACTAAAATACAGTTTCAAAAGAAAAGACCATATTGCAATAATGCACGACTTACGCCCAGGACGACTTTACTGCATCTCAACATGGCGCATACGGCAGAAAATAATGTTTACATAGGGAAGATTCACATTCATTAACGCAAAATGACTATTAAAAGGTATTCGTAATAAGCGTACAACGATTCGTATATTTAAATAACTAACATGTACATTTTCATTTGTGGTATCTAAATGCTAAGATGAATAAATTATAATAAACAATAAGGTGTTACCTTCATTTCCTAAACGTATGTAGGGGGTGGCGATGGTTAGCCGTACGAAAAACAATATGGCGGACAAACAAACTGCTCACCAAAACTAAGGATCAATCAAAACAAAGCGGAAATTTTTGTCGATAAAATGAAAATTAAAGAAAAATTCATGAAAATATCATAGTTCTGCATGGCTGAAATGGAGAGAAGACAAGTTTTGGGAAAAAATGCGAAAATCGGAGCGTTTTGAGAGCAAAAGAAAACGCTCCGACGTGTTGGCAGGGCGGTTGACCCTGCTCACATCCCAAAGACCGCGGTGATCACGCCGTTGGGTCTCTATAAGTTTCTTTGCATGCCCTTCGGTTTGTGAAATGCTTCTCAAACCTTCCAACGCTTCACTGACAATGTTTCCGAAGTCTGGACTTTGTGTTCGCCTACCTCGATGATATTCTCATCATCAGCCCAAAGGAAGCTGAACATATTGCTCACTTACGTCTTGTCTTTGATAGTATCCGTCTCCACGGCATCACCATCAATCCAGACAAGTGCAAGTTCGACCGCACCTCCCTTACCTTTCTCGGGCATACTGTAGACCAGAATTAAAGGTTGAGGACATACGTCGTTTCGCCGTTTCCACCACGGCTCAAAACTTGCGACGTTTCCTGGGGTCAGTGAATTTTTAACGTCGTTCTATCCCACGTTGTGCTCAGATCTGTCAGCCCATGACTGATCTACTCCGCGGAAACCTCAAGTCGGTAACTTTTAACGACGCTGCCCTCCAGGCCTTCAATGACGTTAATTAGGCACTTTCGCTAGTCACTTCTAGCATACCACTCCCCGGACGCACCTCTTCTAACGTTGCCGCAGGTGCTGTTCTTCAACAACTCGTTGATCACGAGTGGTATCCTTTAGGTTTCTTTTCTCGTCGGTTCTTGGAAGCCGCACAGCGTTATAGCACTTTCGGCCGTGAGCTGGTAGTTGTATATCTTGCTGTGCGCCA